GGGGACTGAGGATGGCGTCGGGTGTCAGCGGCGGAGGGCGGCGGCGTTTGGTGACGAGGGAGGCGGCAACGGCGGCGCTGAAGGTGAGTGACGGGCTGAGGTGCCAGGGGCGGAGGATTTTGTTAGGGCTGGGATTGGATTTGGGAAATTAAGTATATCTAGGGGACTTATTTGCAATTTCTAAACTTTTAGTATATGTGTATTTTTATTTATTGATTCCAATTCATAATTTAATGAGAATTAATTATGCACAATAATACCACATTAGATGCACAATATTTGTGTGTATGTGTGCACTTTAAAAAATGATATAATATGTATATCCAATGATTAAAAGTTTGATAAATATATCATTTATTCCATAATTGAATTGCACAATATTTTGTATAGTTATGTGCTTTAAAAAAATAAAAATAAAATAAAAAATTTCGGTGTTGCAGATTAGGAAGGGCTAATGTATTTTTTGGTTTTTAGTTTTAGTTTGTGTTTTTGTTTTTGTTGTTATTTCGTAGTTTCTGTGTTGTGTCTTTGTATTTTTGGTTTGGACCGTTGGTCTCAGTGAACCTGAGTGTGTCTTATTATCCTGTTGGGATCTACACTCAGGTATTACCCTGTTGGGGTCTCTGTGTTATTACCATGTTGGGGTCTCTGTGTTGTGTAGTTTTTTGTGTTTTTTATTACCTGTTGGGGTCGGATCTAGGCGGTCTTCTGACCTGTCCTCCCTTTTTATTCAGCTGTTGGCTGTTGTGTATTCAGTCGTTGGCTGCTGTGTATTCGCACAGTTGTGCTTTTTTGATTTATAACATTTCTATCGTTTCGAAAAAAAATAAAATGAAAATAATCGCTCTAATTGACCGGTTAACATAAATAACCAACATAAATTATATTATTTATTATAAAAGTTATGATTAGTTTTTATTTTAATATTTTTATTCAATATTTTTTATATTATTTGTCGATTAAAAATATTATTATGTATGTAAACGAATTATAATGTCCAATTCGGCGAACAGTACGGTGCATAGTAGCGATCTGTATTGTGCAGATTGAACCAACTGGACTTTTGTCACAAATTAATTTGAAAAATAAATTGTTTATTCAATTCGGTTAACCGAATTATCCTAAATAATCAAAATAATATGATATTTATATTTAAATTATATTTAATATGTTAATAATTTTATTTATTATTTTTATATTATTTGTGGCTGAACAGAAATCAATTCGATCGGTTTAGGTCTATAGTGTGCAATCCGATAATCGCGATAAAGTGCAGCACGTTGTCTTGCAAAGTGCAACATATTTTTTATAAAGTGCAACGTGATGATTTATAAATTGCAACGTGTTGTTTTATAAAGTACAACGTGATGATGTATAAAGTGAACTACTGTAATATTGGTATGTTAGCATGCTTATGATTATTTATTTATTTATTTGGATAGATTATGTGATTAATGTTAAGGGTGAAAATCTTTTTCACCCCGTTATATATATATTCTTTCTTTTACACATCACCCCGTCAAATAACTTCTTTTCCCAAAATTCACGAAATGCTATGCGATATTACACTCGCATGTACAAATGAACCAGCGCATATTCAATCGGCCGCATAATTTATGACTATGCGTAAATATTTCGCATTTTTATAATCGCATATCCACATCAAACGCATAATTTACAAATGTGCGAACATCTTTCGTATTTTAATAATCGCATATACAAATCTAATGCAACATAATTTACGATGATTATGCGCCTTCTTTTCGCAGGGCTATATCAACCTTGCAAATTTATGACTGCAAAAATATTTCGCATCTAATTCGCATAATTTGTTGAATACGCATTTTCTGGTAATTGCATACCCAAGTCAATCGCATAATTTACTAATATGCGGAAAAAAATTGCATATATCCTCTGGATAAGTGACAATTATGCGACATTTTTTCGCTCGCATATTTAAGAATCGCATAACCAAATCGAATAAAGCATAATTTTTTTTTACGATTATGCGCCATTTTTTCGCAGGGCCATATCGACCTAGCAATTTTACGACTATTCGGAATTCGTACGCAGATCTTTCGCATAAGTTGCGCACCTCATTAATTGACTACTTTTTCACAGGTGAGGATTTGGTCTCTGCATTTATCATGCAGGCAAAAAAACAATGATCTCTAACAATTTAACGTCTGCACCATTCATCTACTGCATTTTTCTGTTCTTTTTTTTAGTTCTTTTTGTGTTCACTTATTTGAATGGCTAGCAACCGTGTTAGAGTATTGGTGCACTTTGGTGGTTCGTTTTGCGAGGGTTCATATCTTGGTGGAGTGGCAGAACTGATGAGAATAAATTACGGCCAACAAATATATTCTGAAGTAGTTTCTCGTGCTCAAGCATTATTGAAGGCCGATCTTTGTAATTTTGAGTATATATTGTGGGCAGTATTTGATGGAAGGGAACGATTTGTGAAGATGAAAATCGAACCCAGTGAGGATATCTTAGCGTTGATTGAAGAACAAAGAAATCCCAACATTTACGTAGAGTTGGAGAAACGAGTAAATGTAGGGTTTCCGGGGACGGCGCAACAAAGCTTCACGCAAATGATGGTGTCCCAAGGTGTATTTACGAGTTCTTTTGGTGTTGGTAGTTCTGCATTTTGCCACGAGGCCTCATATTCACATCAAGCAGGCCCTAGTTCATTTACACATATTGGATATCCTCGGGGCGCTGATGATCAAACCGCGGGTTGTTCGAACCAACCAGGTCATTCTCGTGACGATGAAAATAATGATGACCAAACCAACACGCACAATGATGATTCAGGCGAAGAAGACAAAGAGGTCAATTAGAAGCAAATGTTCGTAATCCAGGTACAATTGTCGAAATCGGAATTGGGTTGACCTGCACACATGTCCCATAATAATCGCACAATTGAGTTGATTGCACGATTCGCATAACATGTCCCATTAATAATCGCACAATTAGGTTGATTGTGAGATTCGCATAACATGTCCTATAATAATCGCACAATTAGGTTGATTGTGCGATTCGCATAACGTCCCATAATAATCGCACAATTGGGTTGATTGTGCGATTCCCATATCATATCCCATAATAATCGCACAACTGAGATGATTCGCCTAGTTTTCAACCGCATAATTAACGAATCGTATATCCAAATCGAATGCCGCATAATTTACAACTATCCGCCATTTTTTTCGCATATCCATATGGACCGCATTGATTGATTGTCTGCACCGCATATTAAAATCGAAAGTGCTTCACATATTATTCGCATACGTTACGAACCGCATTGATTGATTGTCTGCACCGCATATCCAAATCGAAAATGCTTCGCATATTATTCGCATAAGTTACGCACCGCGTTGATTGATTGTCTGCTTTTACACCTAAAAAACAATGACGATTTGCATGCTTCCTCATTTAGTTGTTGAGTTGATGTATATCTACCTA